TAATTTGAGGATCACCATTGCCTCATGGTGAGAGGAGAGGTTAAGAAGGACAGTCCTTCGTGGTAACCTCAGCCAGAGTGGGAAATGAACCAATTCTGTTGGTGTATCTCTGCATCGCAAACCAGCCATTCAACTAACTGAGGTAACAGGCCCTTGACCTCCTGTACTGTATATTTGACAAATATCAATTTTTTTCTATGAAAAGCTAAAAAGATATGATACTATGTAATAAATGTAATAGCTGCCTATTTATTGTAGACAACAGACTTTAATCCCAGTACCAGCATTATAGAAAGCCTGGCTGGATGAGGTAATTAACCTTAATCTGTTTAAATAATTTATTGCTATTAATAATTTTCAATTGGGCATCTTCACATTTCCTCCCATAATGAATTATGACAGTTGGAAAGCTCATTTAAATTTCAAGTATTCAGTTAGACATCGATCGTCAAAAAAGTGATCCTCAGTTAATAGTAAATCTCATACTTTTTCAGGAACCTGTCATTATGAATATAGACTAGACAACTTATCTAAAATCGTATCTGCTTGAAGCTTGAAATGTGTTTTGATTGATCAAACATCCCACCCAGGTTATTGCATTTCCTTCAGTGCTTTCCTGTCATCATATTGTTCAAAGTTTCTTGCTTTGTGGATAAATCTTGATTGCAAAGCACGTTCTCTATATCATGTACTGCTTATAATTTTGCTACCAATTGCATATGAGGCATTGCTTTTCAATTCATAAATGGGTACGTCACATCTCAGTGTTGTGCACAATGAACACCAATAATCTTTGACAACTCCACGTGGTTTGCATATATTAACCAAGAAATGACGGAAGATATGCCTCACTATATAAAATGTTTTTATTAAATATAATTTGGTAGTAACTTGTGACCAAATTGTGCATGCTGTGACATTATTATCCACACGCTATTTCACATCAAAGTCCCTTTCTCATTTAAAGTTGACTTGGTTAACGTTGGCATTATTAATACAGTAGTGATAATGTATTTGTTTAACGTTAGGAGTTTGGTATCATATTTGCCACAGACTTCATGTTGTGTGCTGTCCCTGCCTTCAAGACCTTCTTTCTTCATCCTGATTTGCTCCTGAATTCCCGCAGGCCTTCCTCCAGTTCCTGCCTCCAGCCCTCAGACTGTCTTTCTATCGATACCTTCCCGCAGCTTGCGTTATGCCTAATGTATCCTATGTCCCTTTCTCTGATGGCTGCCATTTCTGAGCTTGCTCTGAAGTCCCAGCCTCTATCCAGTGGCAGACATCGATCGGTATGCATCGTACTTCCAGTTTCTGCCACTAGATGGAGTCTAGTCCTTTAAAACTTGATCAACTGAGTGTTTTTTAAAGTGTACCCACCGTAATTGCATTTATGTTTTATTTCTTCTGTATTTTTAAATTATTTTTAAAGGTTACTTTGTTTATGAACAGCCATTTAAGAATGTACACCATTTCAAGTTGATGTTTTTAAATTGATTTCTACTGCGAGGTCCTGAAGTACCTAGACAACAAGGTGCAGGGCTGGATGAACACAGGGTTGCAGGGAGAAGTGCCGGGTGTGGTGGAGCTGGAGGGGAGTGTGGA